CTGAATGAGTTTTTGCATGGCTTTTGCTTACTGATCTCCATAACGAGAGTCGACCTTCCCCTCTCAATCTTGGTAACTCCAACGAGGGAACTACCCGAGGTGCTACAAAGCTTTTCGGCGGAGTATATGATGGTTAGATAGGGCATAGCTAGGAGTGATATACTCTAAGTTGGTTCGGACCCAAGCTGCTTTTAGCAGGAGTTATGAATTTCTTAAGTTATAAACGGAATATGCAGTTTTACACCTGAAGCTTCGTTTCCTCAAACAAACAACGACGTATTGGTCGAAAATTTTGTTATATCTATCTCAGCTGATGATGTTGGTTATTTGTAAGTTGCTGCTTAACAAGATAAAAATGTGAATATTAGAGAAAAAGATTAAAAAAATATGGAAAAAAAATATAAAAGTGCCATATGTGTCTTCATAAATCAGATATCATCAGTATGATAATCAATGAAAAAATCTTAATTGGAAACATAATATCTTTTTGCAATAGGCGCATGAACACATTTGCATACCTGTTTGAAAAGGTCGACGATCAATATCAATATTGGCTATAGCATTCATATCATAACAACAGCATTGACTGGAAAATGAAAAATAGTTTCTACTGCATTCTCTTTATTTTCTGTAATATTTACATCTTTATCTTTTCAAGCAGCAACCCACAAATAATCAACATCATCAGCTGAGATAGATATAACAAAATTTTCGACCAATACGTCGTTGTTTGTTTGAGGAAACGAAGCTTCAGGTGTAAAACTGCATATTCCGCTTATGACTTAAGAAATTCATAACTCCTGCTAAAAGCAGCTTGGGTCCGAACCACCTTAGAGTATATCACTCCTAGCTATGCTCTATCTAATCATCATATACTCAATCGAAAAGCTTTTTAGCACCTCGGATAGTTCCCTTGTGAGACACCTTGCATATTAATAATAATTCAAGTACGAAAGTGTATGATAATCGTTCCAAGATAGTATTTATTATTATACGCCATCTGTTTACTTTAATTTTCATTGGTTTATTCTAGGAACAAATATGCATATTAATGCTTTGCTTTTCGAATAGGTAATCATATTCGACAAGAACTACGATTGAAAGACTATCTCATGTCATATTGAATGACATGAATCTCGCCAATGTAAAATCGGCCAAAGATGGCCTTCTTTTTGTTGGTTTTAATCAAGACGCTAGTAAGTTGTTATTATATATGTCTATATGCTTATCTTTATTTATCAATATCATTTAGATTGTTTTGCTTGCGGTCTTGAAAATGGTTTTCGAATATATAATACAGATCCACTTCGTCAAACACAACGACAAGGTAATAAAAAAAACTTAATAAATTGTTTTCAATTATTGTCTTTTTCGTTCTCTAGATTTTGGTGACGGTGGTATTGGACAAGTTGAAATGTTATTTCGTTGTAATTATGTCGCACTTGTTGGTGGTGGAAAATCACCTAAATATTCTCCATCAAAAGGTAAGCAATAAATGTTTTAATGAATTGAGCTGTCCAATGCGTTATCTACCTTTGACCCAAGCTAACATATCGAGGCCTCTAGTAAGCAATTATAATGCACAACAATGATGATAAAAATCAAATTTATTGATAATAAAAATGATCAAATTTCATTAAAAAAATCTACACATTGATCTCTGAGTTGTGCAATTAGAAAAAACCAAAATCAAAACTTAAAAGATCTTGCTGTTTTTTCTTTCTTTTCTAGTTATGATTTGGGATGATGCAAAAAAACGTGTCGTTATTGAACTTGAATTTTCAACAGAAGTTAAAGGTGTTCGTTTACGTAGAGATCGGTATATAAAATAAAAAAAATTAAAATTTTAAACAAAAAAAAAAAACCGATTTCAATTCTAGAATTATTGTTATACTTGAAACAATGATTAAAGTTTATACATTTACACAAAATCCTCAACAATTACATGTTTTTGAAACATGTACTAATACTCGTGGTATGAATAGATTTATGTTTTTTTTATAACTTTTAAAAATTTTTTCTTATTAATGAAAACAAAAAGGTCTTTGTGTTGTGTGCCCATCGGGTTCGAAATCTTTTATAGCTTATCCAAGTCGAACAATTGGTCAAGTTTGTTTAGTGGATTTAGCTGCAACAGAAAAACCTGTTTTAGAAATTCATGCACATGAAGCATCTATTATGTGTAAGTTTTTCTTTTTAAATGCAAATAACAATTTAAATCATATTTGACTTATAGATCTTGCTATGAATATGACTGGTACACGTTTAGCTACTGCATCTGAAAAAGTATTTGTTTTAATAAAATTTCGTTATAAAAACAATCTATAATTTTATTTAATAAAAGGGAACATTGATAAGAATATTTGATACAGAAACAAGTCAATTACTGAATGAATTACGACGTGGTGCTCATCACGCAACAATTTATTGGTAATAATTTTGAATAAAATTTTTTTAAAAAACTTCATTTTCTTTTGTTTTTTTTTAGCATAAATTTTAATCAAGATTCAACTCTTTTATGTGTGTCGAGTGATCATTCAACGGTACATATTTTTTATATAGAAGAATCACATAAAAATAAATCACGTTCATCAGGGTTTGTTATGTCTTTTTTTTTCGAAGAAATTTATATTTAGTTTTGTTCTTTTTTTTTAATAAAGTGCTGTAGCATTTTTACCCAAATATTTTAATTCACAATGGAGTTCTTGCAAATTTCATTTACCTGAAAATACAATTAGTATATGTGCATTTGGTCCTAATTCGGATGCGAATAAAACAGTGATTGGTATGTTTTGCTTTTTTTTAATCGATTGAAATTCAGTTTTTTTTTGTTACTTCTTTATAAAGCTCTGTGTTCTGATGGTTCATATTCTCGTTTTTTAATTACACCAAAAGGTGAATGCATACAAGATCAATGTCGACAATTTCTTGAAGTTGGCGAAGATGGTTCGAATCTTATTGGTGCTACAGCTAATTGATTGAAAATTTTTCAAGCGTAATAAAAACAAATTCATTCATTTATGTTCATTCTTTTTGTTTTTTTGTTCCTCAATGTATAAAAAAAAATCAAGACGATTGATTCGATGATAATTGTGATTTTGGTCAAAGCCAGATGTTAATGAATATTATTCTTTCTCTTTTTTCTTTAAGATGAATTCTATAAATAGATGTTTATCTCTACTGATAAAGCAGAGATCAATTTTTCAACAACATCCAATGTTTATTCGAACTATTCCGTATGTTCGTCATATTCATTCTAAGAAAAAAAAGAATTTTGTTTTTGTTTCTCTGCAGTAAATTTATTCCCGATCATGTTCATCATGATAAAGAAGTTCAACAATTGTATAATAGAGTAAATAATCTTGTCAAAGATAAATATCAAAATCGACTATTTGCTGTTATTCAAATTGGTAATGAACAAAGAAAAGTAACAACAGAAGATATTATTTGTAAAGTTGATGAATTTCATCCAACAATCGGTGATAGAATTCGATTTGAAAAAGTTCGTTTTTTATAATTCTATAGAAAATAAAATTTCTTTTTATTTTTTAAAGGTTCTTCTTGTTGGTAGTTCAGATTTTACAGTTATTGGACGACCTATTCTTGATCCACATTTCGTGCGAGTTGAAGGAATTGTTATTGAAAAAACTTTATCACAAACTCAAATGGATTATTGGTATGCACCAAGAAAGAAAAAAGTTGGTCAAAGACATCTTCGTAAGTAAATTTGCTTTAATATTATGACAGGAAAAGAAAACCAATTATCTTGTTTTCATAGTTTGGCGTGATCCACTGACAATGATTCGTATAACAAATATTGAAATACTTGGGCCGATACCAGGAACAAATCAATCGAACTCATGATGTTTATTTGTTTGTTTTCTTTTTTGTGATTGTTAGAACTGTTTTCTCGATGGTAAATATAGGATTGTTTTCTTTCTTTTTTTCTGTCAAAAATAACAAACATGAATGGTTTGACTCATCAATGAAGATATTTATTTTTCTTTGAACTAGAGAATAGTCTTCATTGGTAATCAACATTGATTAGAAAAAAAAATCTTATAATAAGTTATGAAATGAAGATATTATGAAGTGGAACAGTGCACATGAAAAGTTTTGTCGTACTATGTAATTGTCACATTTGTTGTTCGCAAAAAATAATTCAAAATAAAAAAAAAACTGATTGAGAACAAACAGTCTTCTTATGAATTTTAAAAGAAGATGAAGTAATTACGGCTGGATATAAATATATATACTTTAATCTACTGCAAATGTTTCATGATTATATTTGAATGATAAGTATAAATTACGATTAAATTATCATTCCGTATATTGTGTTGTAAATATGCAACATATTATCAAAATGTTTAAGACTTTTTTTTCTTATATAGATGTTTAAATTAAATTATTAAATGAAGAAGAATATATTTATTGCTAATATTTAGTTCATAATGAATATTATAGAAACGTTTTGTATTAATAGATTATACAACAACGGTACATTGTTTTTAATATATTCTCTCTTTGGCTTTTTAATGTTTTCATTGAGTTTTTACAGATAAAATGTTCATGAGGCCAGCACAATGGCAGACAACAAAAACCAAACTAAACAACAAAACTTATTAGATACGAATGTACGCACTCATATAAACTATTGAAAGCAAATAGACAAACAGTTCCTCATTAGTACATTGAGATAGGAAAAAAAACGATTCTATAAATAAAAATGGAAGAAAAATGAAAAAAAAAAACATGGTCTAGATTGATAAAATGAATGTCGACGGAGTTTTTGATGCATATCAAACTCGATTTTCATTTGTCTTTAACAAGAAAGACGTATATACGTGTGCTGTTTTGTCATCAAGAATTTTGTTCGCTGAATTAAATAAAAAGAAACAAAATGATCACTGTTTGATATAACTATCTGAGGGTAAAAATAAGTTCGACATTAAAAATTTAAAAAAAAAAGAAAACAAGAAGAAAAAAAAAAAAAACATTCATCACATTTTTGTTGTGTCATTATTATTGCTCGTAGTTGAGCTAGTTCGTTGACGTTGTTCAGCATTATCATTTGGTCTTGATTTTTCTGTTTGTTCAATTACAATTGATGGTAATTGTTGATTTATTGGATTCAGTGGTACCTCATTAGTTGCAGTTACTAATGGTCGATCTTCATCTGGACCAAGTATACTTATACTTAATTTACGAATTCTAAACAACAAAATTTTATTTGTATGCTTTTATATAGGATATGAAAGGTCGATAACTTTTGAAATTGGCTCCCTGAAGAAATGTCGTTTCTTCTATATCAAACGACCACATACGATATCCACAAATGAGCTCTAGTAGAATTAGTCAATGACCGTCATGTTTAACTTGAACTCGACTATTGATGATTATTAACACTTTTTATCTAATCATCTCATGGATGATTACGCCATTTTCATAGGATTCGGTACCAATTTTCAAGGGCTGCGAAATAGTATAAATACATCGAGGAAAAAATACCAATCAAGCAAAGAAATCCCAAGAAGATTAATCTCGAGGCATGATTATATAACTTTTCCTTTCTGATATTCAGTAGGTTTCGGTAAGAAAATTACAGCTTAAATGAAAACTAATATGATGTTCCGAATCAGCATCCAAAACTGAGTGAATTTAGATGTTGTTCAAAAGTTTTTCAAACCTTGTTTTTCCTTCGAAAAATTTACTTCAGATTCCTGTCAGAATTGCGTCAAAAAATGACTTTCATAAAAAATTAGTTTTTATTTTTTATTCATATGCCATTTGAAGCTCTACTATCGTTTTAGTACCTTAGAGCTTGATTTCTACATTCAAAATAACTTTTCGACGGAGTTCAATTTTTGATTTAACCATGAGGAAGGCACAGGAACAAGTTTTTCGAGGAAAAAATAAAACTTCGCAAAGTTTTGAAAAAACATGTAAGTTGACTCGATTTGAGATGCTGATTCAGAATATCATATTAATTTTTACCTAAATCGTAATTTTCGTATCGAACTCTCCTGAATATCACTAAGAAAAGGCTTAAAATCATTTCTCGAAAATCATCTTCTGGAGATCGCCTTGTATGGCCAGTATTTTTCCTCGATGTTTTTAATACCATTTTGAAACGCTTATAAAGTGTTGATTATAAGCAGAGATCAGGCTCAATGCATATATAATGGCTATGACTAATTTTACCAGAGCTGACTTTCGATATCTTGTGTGATAAATTGATATAGAAGAAATGGAATTTCTCGACGAAGTAAATTTCAACAGTTATCGATCTCACTCCGATAAATAAGGAACCTTTTCTTTAAAGCTGATCCACGTGATGGTTTATCAGTAGTTGGTTGTTTTGGAGTGTGCAATTTTCCTTCAGACGATGGTTCTTTATCTTTTGTTGTAGCTATTGATCTCCATAGAAATGTTTTACCAACTTCTTCAGAAAAGTTTATCACACCTGTTGATGTATCTATCTACAAAAAAGAAAAGCAAACGAGGTTAATAATGAACAAGAAAATAACAACTAATCAATAATTACTTTAACATTTTCTGTTGGTACTTTCATTACTTGACCATGACCAACTGGTATACGAATTTCACCATTGTTAAGTGTTATTGTGTCACTTGTCTAAGAAATTAATTAGAAAAAGTCTTTTACAATATACATTAACTTCGAAAACATTTCTAGGTAAATAATGAATATTATAAGTTATAATATATAGGATTTGAGTAAAAATATAATATTTTCAAATTATTGGTTTGACCTTTTTTTATTGTCAATTTTCTATGCATTCCAGCATCGTATATATGCATAACTATTTATTGCAACGACAGCTTTCGTATGATATTAAAATAACTGATATAACATAGATGAGACTAAACAACAAATAATTTAATTCTAAAACAATGCTTTGTTGCAATATCTTACAGAAAAGCTGTATCGTATTCTAAATAATATCGTTTTGTAGAAAACTATATAAGCTTCCTGGTTCATATAAAACATATGTCTTCTAACAACTTTTGTTTTGGGCTAGGTTATAGTTATTTAATTGTGATTACTACAGTACGACCTCTCTATTGTAGGCATTATTGAGATTGACCAAAAGCGCTTACGTTTACGAAGATACTCATTATTGTGAGGTTTTCAGTTTTTTTTTAAATTCATAAGTACTCAGTCGCAATCGCTTTTCATGTGTACAAGGTGATTTTTTTTTCTTCTTTCCAACAATTTATTGGTTCAGCTTCTTTTAATCAGAGGTAAATCAGCATGTATTAACATGATTGTATCTTACCAACTGTTAGCACAAATGTTACATCAAGCACTGTTACTATTGTCTTATATAGCTTTTTTGCTTTTTTATATGCACGGTTAGTCCATCTCCTTTTTATGCATATCTCCTAGTTGTTTGTCATAACATAATACATATAACATCGGTTTTTTCTTCTTCTGCGCATGATTGATAGAACATATGTTGTTCACAGTAGAGATGTTGTTATTACGTATGGAACTAGAAATAAGTGCCCTCTGCTCAGAATAAGAAGATGTTCATTTTTAAGAGGTTCCTTCCTCACATAATTCTCTTAGGCGAGAACTATAGGCTGCCTAGCTGCAGGAGGTGCTGGCGTAGAAAGATTTTACTGTAGCTATGAAAAATCAGTGCTACCAACTAAAGATGCTATAATAGCATTCACATTGGCCGTTGTAAAATATATAGAATATTTCTATTTTTTGATCTATTAATAACTATTCCCTTTCCTTACGTTATGAAACTTAGAAAAGGAAAATAAGAATAAAATTCTTTTTAATCGGTTGAAATTATTTTTCTTTAAATTACATGCTTTCATACATATTTGCAATAAAAATGTTGTTCTTTCTAACAAAAGCATAAAGGTCATGGTTATACGATATTTCATTGCAATACTATATCAAAAAACAAAATTTTTGCAGAATTTTTGCCTTCCTTCGTTATCTAATCTATTGAAATACTTGTTCAGTGAATGTTATACAAGTACTTGAACAATACTTATACTACATATCTTGGGATCTTATCTCTCTAGTGGTTTTCGATAGAATGAAAGTCAGAGATCAGTTTCATGACAATTTTATATCAATCCTCAAACTTTTGTTTCTTATATTTTCTTAAATATTATGTCTTAACAAACCTTCTTGCCATTTTCATCTGTGTCTTCAATGATACTGTTTTTTCTTTCTTCAATTTCTTTTTTAACGACTTCCGGCATAATATCATCCAAATATTCAAGTTCACGTTGTGTAAATAGATAATCCATTACTTTTCTTGCACCAACTAATGCTAAAACCATTATGGGAAATAATATTGATATTCTTTTTATTGATTTAATAATCCATAACATAGCTAAACAACTTAATTGTATAAGTGTAAATAAGTGTACTCGACGTGTTCGTACATGACGAAGATAAACATAATCTGGTTGATATTTTTCAGGCATAAATATTAATAATATGCGAGATATTAATTGTATTTCTTTCATTGATGATATACCCATATAAAGAAAAACACCATAAAGTACAGGCATAGGTATAAAAGCTAATAATTTTGTTAAAAATACGGATAGACCGATAAAAAGAAATACAATAAAACCAGTCAAACGTTGTTCTCTAACACCTAAAAATTTTGGTTTTTCACCTGGTGCTGCTGTTTCAGATTCAAGTTTAAGTGCAATGACATGATTAATTGAAAGTACAGTAGCTGCAACAAACCATGGAAGACCAAGTATTGAATTAATTCCAATACAAAGTGCAACAATTAACAGATCAAGATGATAGCCACATCCTTTCTATTAGAGAAAAAACAACAGAAATTCTTTATGGTAATTTTAATTTAAAATTACTTTAAGTTTATTTTCTTTTCGATTTATAATAACTGCTGTTATTTGTTGATCCATAAAAATAAGTATTGTAGCTAATAATGCTGGTAATAATGCAGCAAACCACATAACCATAGGATTTTTTCCAAATGGATTTATAATCCAACCACGACCTTCTTTTGTTGTAGCAAATTTTTGTGGTACACTTAATTTTGGTGTATCAAGACCAATTAAATTGTCAAAGAATACATTGAGAAATATAGCTATAACAACACCAAAATCGCTCACTTTTGAACGAATCTAAATAAAATAAAAAATATATAAAATAAACAATTTTCTCAAAACAAAAAATTCAATACGAACACCCATTGGTAAAAAGCGGCTAAATTTAAAATTTTTTAATGTATATGCCAAAACAAATGTTGATACAAATAAAAGAATTGAAAAGAAAAATACATCTGGTGTGTATACTTTGTTGTATGCATCACCACATTCACCAATAAATTCATACGATTTGTTTTTATAACAAGCCTAAATCGAAGAAATTTTGTTTTGAAAAAGTATCAAGAAAGAAACACAAATTTCTTTTTACACTTATTGTCATTCTTGTCCTATTTAATGCGATATTATCTCTTATACATGTACAACCTGGTGGTAGTAAAGCAGTTGTATGTAATTGAACAGGTTGCTTCTTGTTTATTTCAATCATTTTATCAAATGCTTCATAGATAAATATAATACCAATAAGAGCCGCAAAACTTTCCTCTAAAAACAAAAGAAAATGATATTCTCAAGAGAAAAAAGGTCATATATGAAAATTTATTAATTATAAATTCTCGTTTTATTTTTTCTGTAGATACACAATAATATATTTGTTTACGAAATCTCAAAGGAATTTTATTTGTCTTTCGATCAATTTTGAAAAACTACTTGGTGAAAAAGAAAAGTCAGTTTGTGATATTAAAAATTTGAATAGACAATTATAAATATTTCTATGATCAAATTTTTAGATCAATTGAAAAAAAAAACTAAAAACGAACTGTGAAGTTTAAAATCAACATTTATAATCAAAATGTTAATAGTTTCATAATATTACTCTATGATGATTTAATATGATAAAATCATTTTCAAAGCAAAAACATGCCAAAAGATATTATCGAAACCTTAGATCAAGTCACGCTAACAATGTTTTGTGTATCTTCATAGGTCTGTTTTTCTTTTTTCTATTTTTTGCATTTCATTCACTAATGTTTCTATTTTCTAATAAAATATTCATCAGAAGAAATTATACTCTAATAAATTTAACAAAATAAATTAATTAGAAAATGAATTCTATATGAATGAATTCGTTTAATCTAGTTGTAATATGATTTAATAAAACAATGTAATATTTTTAAACAAGATAAAAACTCTGTTTTTTTGAAACAAAATTATTTGCAAAAAAAAACAAACAACTAACCCGTAAATCTTGTTATGTATTTTACAAGATAACTTGCGTCGGTAACAACCATAATTAACAAAATCGTTGCTGTCCATAGGCCAATCCAACAACGCAAGTTCATATAATCATAGCCATGATTTCTAAAAAGTAAAATAATATTTCCTTGAAAAAAAAAGTACTTATTGATTTCATACGTGCAAAAATGATTGACAATTGTTTCAAAAACCAGCACAGGACCTGTACTGCCTAAGATTGTTAATGGTTGACCGGCAAATAAATGATATAGAATACCACAAATGGCACCTGATAGTAGACTTTCAATTGCAGCCTTAAGATTTCAAAAACGAAAACAAAAACAAATTTTGTTTTTAATTCTTTATTTATTATTTATTATTAGATTACCATATTATTATCAGTTGCTTTACTTAAAAGGCCACCAAATGTAATAATTGGTGATAAACAAGCAAAATAAAGAAAAATAATTGCCGCAAGAGATTGAAATGATATAGCATCAGTAAAATCTGATACATAGAATCGTATTTTACGTTTTATATCATTAATAAGACCACCGCAAAATCTAATATACAAAACAAATAAATTATTTTTTTTTATTTATTTTCTTCTTACCTTCCTGTTCGACTCAATGCTGGATCAAATTCATGTTCGGTATGTTCTTCTGCAGTCATTTGTGTAAGACCATTAGTTTTTTTTCGTTCAAGTCTATCTTCCTATATATTTTTGTTTGTATAAAATATTTCTCATTTTTCGATTAAAATTTATTTAGATCTTACTTTATTTGGTACGCTTTTTGGTGGTTCAATACGTGTTTTAGGATCCCATTCACCCGGTGGTAATACAGTGACATGATCAAGAAAGTCATCAATACCTAGATAAATTAAATTTAAAGTATTTTACTTTTTTATTTCTTCATATGTTTTTTTTTTCTTATGTAGTTCGCTCATGTGCTTCTCAATAATTATTTCCTTGAATCTTTTTTTTTTTTAACTTTGGCTATTTCTGAACTACATCACCTGTTTTAGTCACCTGCAAGTAGATCATCTCGATTGCGAGCTCGATAAGCAACATCATGAAAAATCTAAAATGAAAAATTAGAATTGAAAGTTTTGTGTTTGTATTGTTATATATATACTTCATCAGCCATTAATGTGGCTATAGAACGTCCAACTTCATGATAACGTAAATGTTCATTAGATGGTCCAAGAAGTATAAAGAGAAAACGTGTTGGTAATGCAACTTCAACAAGATCAGGTAGTATAACACCTTTTGATAGACGAACAAATGCATAGATTGGTACTTGAATAAAATCTACAGCACCAACTAAAACATTTGTAGCTTCAGCGTTAGCTGGAACTTTTTTCATAAAATGTAAATTAATCTATAAGAAAATGAAAACCATATAGATGAAATAACGAAAGACATTTTTTGTGTTTGTTTTTACTTTAACACGAGATTCATTAGCCGATAAACCAACAGCTGATTCGTCACCTTCAGGTATTCGTGTTTTGGATGGCTCTACATTAGCGACTAAAATAAGGATACTTGTTAGTTGATCACATTATAAATTAGTAATATTAAAATTAATCATCTTCGTTTTTTTTAAAATATGTTGCCATTCTCATGCAGTGAAATCATACTATGTTTTTTTAGTGCATTTATCTACTATGTAAAGGGATCTTACACATGGAGCAGAAATTGCGCTAGGTGTGTCGTTTATTACAATCAGGAAATCGAGTGAAGATTGGATATGATAAGGCTCAAACATACAGAATATATTGTGTGAAATAGGGAATATGCATAAATAAATAAATAAATAAATAAATAAAGATACCTGTGAGAAATTTTTCACAAGAAGGATGACCTGTTAGTACTGTGAGATATTTGTTTATTTCTTTCTTAGTTGAGTATTTTATTTTTATTCTTTTAAATCTTACATTTAACAAAATGTGTTGGTGTTTGATTAGGATTTGTTGTCAAAGCTGAGCTACTGGCAGCTGTTGCTATTGTTCCTTGATCAACATTTGGTGCAGTTACATCTTTTTGTGAACGATTTCTTGAAAATTCGGCTAATGAACGTGTAAATGGTAATGGTTTTTTACTTTCTTGTGAATGTAACTGTCGATGAAATTCTTTTTCATGCTAAATTTTTTATCAAATAATTTATTTTTCTCAAATAAAAAACAAAAAAACTTTAAAACAAACCTGATGAACATGTTTTAAAAGAAGTGCATTACGTACAACAAAACGTTTATCAGATGATAATAATTCATTAGCAATCATATCATCAAGAATCATATCTAATTGATAGAGAACAAAATAGTTTATAATATAATTATTATTTATTTATAATTAAATACAAACCAACAATAACGGTTAATTGATCAGCATGCATATCAAGTATAACACTTCCTTTTGAAATAAAATTTCGTAATTCAAGTAATGAATGTAATGATAATGTAGCAACATGTGGTTTACTCCATCGACCACCACTTTCAACATCTTCTTCAAATTTTACCCATCTACAAGAAATTTTTATATAATCACTTTTTATCTTAGTAGATCAAAAAAATTATTATTATTTTACCTAGCAGTTTCTTTCCAACCTTGTTCAACTGATTCACCAGATTCGTTTTGTTTTTCTCCACCAGTTACTAATTCATCTAACTCAATAAATAAATCATGTGGTTTATGTTCTTCATCATCATACTCTTGATCTTCATCACCAAGTAAAAACTGAACACGTGCACCGGGACTTTCTTCATAGAAAATAGATAGTTTTTTTATTTTGTTCAAATTTCAAAAACAAATGTTTCTATTTTACGAATATTACTTGAATCATTTGTTTCATTCGAAGGAATCGATCTAAATGCCATATCAGGTGACTCCATAGGTTGACGTAATCGACGATGACGTCTTCGACGTCTTTCACTTGGATTGTATGCTGTTAAACTCGGCTGATGATATATCGATTTATGTGATTCTAATCAAAATTAAAATGTGTATATAGCATTGTTTAAATATAACAAACTTAACGAACAAAATAACAGAATAAAATATTTACCATCATCAGTTATTATTCGTCGAACTTCATTTCGTCGAAAATCAGATATAGGACTATTCAATGTTGATGATGGATCAGAACTCATATGATCTCGGTCAGTTGGTATTGGCGGATAAGATGAAAATTCGTCGAGTGGATCAGACATTTTTTTTAATATATATATAGAAATTCTGAACAAAATCAAAATAAGATCCTTTAAGAGAAAAAAAAAGAAAACAACGCATAAAAAAAATATAAACATTAAGAAAAAAACAATAGTTTATATGCATGGATTGATTAATAACAAAATTTGACATTAATTACGAGAAAAAATATATAAACTAGTCTGGCAAACTGCTAAGAAAATCTTCGATTCTGTATTAGAACAAAGAAAATTAGGCATCAAAATGGCTCTCCCAGTAGTTCTGTGAAGCAAATAAAAAACAAAGAAGACAACACATCGCCATGAAAAGGTCATTGAGCGACCTTGGTAAGATAAGAACCAAGCAGCTACATACGCACATACATACTCTGATGAATATTGATGCTGAAAAACTTTGAATTTATGAAATATTTCGATAAGCAACAATACAAAAAAAAAGACGAAAGACTATCGAGCAAATATTCAAGGAAAGAAAGCAAATGAATCGGTGTTAACATATAAAATGTAAAGTAAATAAACTCCCAGGTGAGGAAATATAAACTCAATGTCTACGATTTATTTAATTTGTAATGATGACGAATGAAGAAATAATTTTTTCGAACATATTTCTACTAAATAAGAAATAACGAGGATATATGCTACAACATTATAGACTATATGAAACCTAAATATATATTTATATAAAACAAGATTGCTTATTATCTTCATGCAAAGTATTTAGAAGTTTTCTTTTAATATATGTTTACAGGTTCGAAAGTATGTCAAGTTAGGTGCTCATGTCGTTAATAAATTTTTGAAAGTATCGTGAGAATTGTTTTTTGTTTACACCGAACGATCAAATAGAATCCTTACAAACAAAATAGAAATTCACAAGAACATTAAATATGTATAATATTAGGAAAAGGGATAAGTAACAAATATCACTATTGAGATGTGTTAGAACTCTAATGTGACACTATGCGCAAGCAACATATTGTACTATCCTGCTCGTTGTCTTTCCAATTATTGCTTTTCACCAATCATCAACATATCTCAGTTCTTTTTTTTCTATTTCTATTTCTTTTTTCCTCTATCGTCATCTCATAGTTTTGTTGTATATAAGAAAAGAGAAAAGGACGAGATCGTCTACAACTTCTCAGAAAACTAGCATTGCATTCTCACATTTTTTCTCATCTGTCTGATTCTCTTTCTTTCTCTTGCTTCTGTTCTCGGCAACTTGTTGCTCTATTAATAATGACGTTAACTCGTAGAATTCATGAAAAGAAGATATTTCAGAGTGTTCATTATCGCTAAAATCTAATCATAAAATTTACACTTTTGTAGATCGTATCGTGGTTCTATTCATCAGTAATTTTAATATGTTTAAACAAAAAAATACATAAAAAGACAGCAAAACAAAAATCGGAAGCAAAATTATTTTCAATTTTTTCTTATCTTATAGAATCTAAAGAATTCTCATATTCCTATGTCTTACAACGGTTGGTCTCCAATCGACGATTTAATTACCATTGATACTCAATCTGAAAAAGAATGAGAAGAAGAAGAAGAAAAAACAGCCTGAATCGATTAATTTCACACTCTCTAAAAGAAAAACAAAAAAGATAAATAAATAAATAAATGAATAAATCAATAGCTAAATAATGTATAAGTACGTTCAAACTATGTTCTATAGACACGTCTATATATACTGTTAATGGAATGAATTCATTAATTTAGAAAAATGAAAAAATAGTAATAAATGAATTCATCATTTAATAGTTTTACATTTGCTACCGATTAACTAAAGAGAAAAAAATGCATTAAATATAATCAAACATACTGCATGCTCATCAAAAGTAAAAAAAAAAAGAAAATGTCTGGTTTTTTTCTTGATGCATTGAAAAAATACTTTCGAGTGTAAACTACTTATGATCAAAGCGAAAAAAATTCTTTTCAAAAAAACCTAACCGAATCCCTTGGCGATTGATAGGTAAATAATGTACTTCGCAATAACTTTCGATAATTGTTTTTCCTAACCGGCAACACCATGTTAGTATTGATTTTTTAACTGTTCATATCTAATTATTAGAAAAAAACACACATAATAATCATATTTTATCTTTTGAATATAATCCGTAGAGAAATAAATTAAAATATCCTAGATTGTATTTTATTTCTTGTACTAAATATAGTATTTTTAATAATACTTATCGTTCTTTGTGTAACTTTTTACTTTCTCTTCGGCATTCATTCTATAACAAGTGCAGGTTCAGACATTTAGTACACACTTACAATGGATGTGTTTCCTCATTGGTAAATGTCGGAAAAAAAGGATGTTGTATATATAGACATTGCTAATGGTATTAATTTAGTATTAATAATATTATTATCATATGTTCATTGTTTCGATTCGTCACGATATTGTTAGCTTTATTTTTTCTCATTGCTCCTTATATATTAACAGATATATGTCATTCATAAGAATAATATTAATCTATCGTTCATAGTAATATATGAATAGAATTCACTAGAAAAAAAACGTATCAAACGTCTGTATTAGTTTGATGGAAGTATAACATGGGGACAAGTATGAGTCTACTGTTGTTTGTCAAAATAATATATTTTTTTCTCTTTCTTCCTTCGTTTTTTTCCTCTCCGGTTATAGTTGTTCTTTAGAGTTTAGACGAAAGAAGGAGAGCGCACTAACATGAATAGTTGTATGAGTATCACTATTGCAAGAGAACAAAACGTTTCTTACTCGTTCTTATAAAAGCTTGGCTAGATGGCTTTTTTTTTCTTTATTTTTTATATCATAGAATTTTACTATCTTTTTTCTTCAACAAGAGCTTGCCATCTTTAATCGATGCTTTGTTAAATGAACGGAGAACTAGATCGCTCGATTTTTCTTGTTCTATAACTTTTATTGTTATGTTTGTGTGTATAATACTGATAATTCTTAATGAAAAACGTATGCTAGAAATAGGATAAGAAAAAAGAAAGAAAAAAAAAAGAAAAAAGAAAAAAGATTACATTATCAGTAATAACTTATTTGCTTGTAGTTGAATAAGTAAAAAAACAAAAACTTAACAAATGTTAGTATTATCGAATGATGATTTGTTTTTCTTTCCTCTATTTGTTCTTTGTTGACTTTGAAAACAAAAAAAAAAGAAAAACTTCTTTGTTATGCATTGATGAAGACTTTTATTTGTTTATAAAATTTTATGTTCAATATTTTAATAAAATATCAATTAATTAAAGTTTAGTATGAGTAATACTTCTAAAGCTAATGAAATATAAACAATTATTCATTCATTCATATAACATGTATATGCTACATTTCACCTGATACTTCTCGAACGAGATCATTATTTAAATGCACACATACATATATATATATATGTGTGAAAAATGAAATAAACTGACCTATTTCGCACTTAAATTTTTATTTTATTACCTGCATAAAGTCGAGAATGATAAACATTAAAAAAAAGACTTCTATGAATTTCAAAACGAAATGCACTATAGTAGTTATATTTTGTCGTATTTTATCTCCAAAAAAAAATGTTATGCTTTAGAATTGTCAACAATATTGTGAATAAAGAAAAATATTCAATTGAATACTTTGATGAATAAATTCAAAAAAATATATTCATTCTATTTAGACTATGCTAATAAAAAGAAAACAAAAATGTGTTTATTTTTAGAATTATGAAATGAGATTCTTGTATTTAGTAGAAGAATCTAGAAAAAAAGATTAATTTCCTTTTTCAATAGCTTATCTATTCATTTAGAAATACATTTGTAAAGGAGGCTATGTTCAATTCATCGATTATCTACTTGTCAAAATTGAGTATGATTCTAAGCGTTAATAACAAGTCCTAAGATTTATTAATAACATATGCATTCTATTAGAAAAGGACAAACTTGTTTTCATTGTAAACACCGGATTATTTATTAGATTTTTAATATAACATAGATTTAAATTAAATAACTATTTGCTTTCCTTGTGAATCGTACTTCCCCTTCTTAGAATAAAACATTACTCTGATTATGAGATTATTCATAAAAACAAATTCACAAGGTTTCATTGAAGATCATAAAATTTCAAAAAGTCCTTTTCGAAAATACAACGAATTTTAGCACTTATATACTCGATTTTCGATTAAAATATCATTTTTGTTTTTAATTAAAATTTCTATTTTCTCTAATAAAAAAAGTGTTTTTCTTAGTAAAAATCCTAGTTTCCGATGTTTATTTGCTAAAGGCATTTGTTTGAACAATTGGTCAAAAACTCTTGTCTTTCTTAGTTGGCTTTTTATCCTGAAGATTTAGCTAATATTGAAGTGAGATTAAATTCTAATCTATTAATTATTTATCAGATATCTAACATATCATGAAAATATAATATTTGATAGTCTTGAATGTTTACATTAATCTATTCAGTAAAAAAATATTGTTGATTTATGTTGAATTTTTATTTTTATTTTTCAATATTGAAATATGTATAATAGTTTTATTATAAGGTCTTTTTTTCTGAAAAGCTTATATTTCGACTTTTTTTTCTTTTTCATCTATTGATTTGTTTGTTTTTTAAATTAAATATACGATTTATTTCAATTCATATGTGCATTTATTAGTAAAAAGATAATATTCACTAAATTATCTATTTCTGCCCACAAAAAAACACAGAACAATGATAAGTCAATGCAATCTAAAATGTTAATTTTGCTGACAGCAATAGTTTCATTATATTTATCACGTTGTTTATCAGTGATTGTATCGAACATGTTTTGTTTTCATACTCGCTCTTTTATGTGAAGAAAAAGCAGTCATGCATAAAAAATAACAAAAATTACGATAGACTCACGATCAATTATTCAGAAAAGGTATCTAAGCATACAGACATACACTATGATTTAAAAAAAAACAAGTAAGTACAATAAATATTTATGTTGAAATTTGACAGTAAATAACAATTAATAAAAAATCATACGATAATGATAATACATAGAATTACAATCATC